ATAGAGTAAAGCAAAGGAGCAGAATTACCCAACTGGGTTAAGTTGTAGTATTTATGTCAGTGAATCAAAATCACCCATAAATATAGCTATGAATTGTAAATATTGTAATCAGGGATATGTTAATGGTCCATTATGTAAATTAATTAGGTCTCTTGCCCCAGAGGGTCCAGGAAAAGGCAGTAAACCAGAAATTTAAATCGTTCTCCATGTGTGTCAAATTGAGGTGCCTGAAAACAGCATATCCATTTCTTCTAGCTCAGTTTTCTTGACCTTTCCATTCTTCCTTGGCATCTTCTGAATCGTTAAAAATAAAATCCTTATGAGGGCACTGGCAAGTGTTTAGCAAAGCTCATTACGGCAGCTTTCTACATTCAGCTATTAAAGCGATAAAAGTCAGGGCTGAAACAGGCAAAGATAATCCTATCCTGTAGGAAAAGTGTATCCAGTGATTGTCCTGGGCAGCCAGGTGAGCTAGGCTGTTTCCCTCCAAGGCGAAGATCCATGTGGGCAGGCCACCCCAGCACAGTGCTGTTACACTCCTGACCACAGTAACCCTGCAGGCAGGGAGCAATCCTACTAAAAGGGCATTCTCCAAATCTTAAAAAAGAATCTGCCATTCATTATGGGAGAGGTTCGTCTGCCCTGACCCTGGCTGGGACCATGGCTGTATTCCTTGAGGGATACGATGCAGTTCAGCATGGAGAGAACAGCAGAATCTGGGCGCTTGAGTAGTTAAAATAATTGTGGTCTTCTGAAAATTCTCAGTAATATTCAGATAATTGTTTGAGTTGGTTTTTAATTAGTGCTATATATTGAATGGACATTAATGCAGAAGATTTTGTCTGCAGTATCTTTGTCTTATTTGATAGCCTTCAGGGTAATTGTATTTAAAGACAGTCTGTATGCCATTTCACAAGCCTACTGTCGATCTTTTAAATGTATTGAAGATGATTATGAAATGAAATCTACCTTTGTGGCTTTTGTGGCATTATCTTCTTCCAATGAATTGAACACCGCCTTTGCCCCATTTCTTCCAGCCCTGCTGTATTTCTTTTCTATGAAACCTCGCTCTTAGCATTTTGAATGTGTTGATTCTGCCATTATCCATCACTTCCCATTTCAGTTTTCTCAAGATGAAATCTCTCTGCTAATTCAAAAAGCTTTCTATCTTCATTATGTATAAATTACTTTGTGCAAGACTTAAAAATCTAACCATAAGATAAAGTGAGGCCTAGACACATTTTATACCAGAATAGTTAAATACAAGGGAGGAAACGGGTAAGGAAGGAAGCATAACCATTTAACATTTTCCTTCTGGTGGGATTTTTTTTTTTGAGGTTTTTTTTTAAGGGTTGTTTTCCAGGAAGGTACAAGTCTAATGAGCTGAGAAATTTTAACTTAAATAATTGTTTTCCTGGAGCTCAGCATTTTTTAAAAAACACCATCATCATGCTTTAAATAACCATGTCTCCAAATGAGCATAGCAATGAGGAAAAAGTCCTATTCTTAACTGGCTTGGAAGGATACCAGGGAATGATTCTTGCACAGCTAACATTTTTCATAGTCATTAAATATGTTTGCTCAGTAATCCAGGCATTTTATTCCGTGTCTTACACTAGTATATTAGAATTACTCTGCCTTTTTCCACATCTTGTGAATTAATTCATGAACTACCAGCTTGATCAGCGAGACAGTAATAATGATGAATGCATCTGTTTATTTGTAGAACAAGTATCAACTATATTTTTAATTACCAGGTATCACTGTCAGTTGAAGGGTGCCCTCAATGTTCTCTGTGTTTCTGTGTTGGATGCTGATGCTGCCTTATGGGCAATTAACATTGCTGTGAATGCAGCAGACTGGACTTTATTTTTAATGACATCCCATTTGGTGCAGCTCGGGAAAGTTTTCCATTTTGCTTATTAAGTAAATTTAAGCTTCTAATTTCTGATAGCTAACTAAAATCAAATCTCTCCATATAATGATCTCAGTGAGTATAGTGTAGTCACACCCATATACCCTTGCTTTCCATTAGCAAAAAATAATCCAATAACCAATGAATTCATTACTGAATCTACAGTTTAGCAAGAAAAATGTCTCTTGAGTGATTGTGTTCCTTGTTTTCTTTACCAGTTTACTAGATGGGAATTTTCCTGAATGAATACGTCATAGGTGATGACTGTGGAAGTTGACGATAACGTTAGATGCAGAGCAGATCTGGGAGGAGAACCACATCTAAATAAGGAGAACAAACAGGGACGGAAGGACTGGAAATGGATTTACTATTTTAGCATTGTACAAAGTGTTGTCCTTTGCACTTAAATAGAATTTCATTTATAGTATCAGCTGAATGGCTGTGATTTCACTGGTTTGGCAGCAGATCCCACCTGTGGAGCCTTTCCAACCTCTGCTCTGCTCTTTTTTTTTTAAATTCAGTGCAGGTATGGGCTGCTGTAGTTTATTTTTCTACCTATCAGAAATGCATTCAGATGTGGAGAAAATGGAGGATTTCCAGTATTTCTTGATAATAGAAGCTCTTCACAGAAATGTTAATCTTTCATGGTATTCATAAAATGCATGGAGCAGTTTTTATCTGCAAGTGTTCATGGGGCTCAAGGACAAATTCATGCACTCTCTGTATATCAATACATTTTACAGTTTAAACATGAATATTTGACTATTTGATCAAACATAGAACTCCAGGTAATTATTAATTTATTTAAGTCAAAGAAACACATTGAATTAATGCCCTCATTATTTTTTTCATTGATTGTTTTCCATATTGGTGTGGATACTAATCTTTTGTAAGAAGAGATGAAGGGACAGTGGCGCTTACCGTAGAAGCGACAATGCAGAGAGAAGGAAGTCATGCCCTAGGGCCCTCCTAGTCTGCAAGATAACTTCAGCCACTTTGCTACCCCCCAAAGCAATAGTTTGCTCTTCCTCTCAGTTTTACCAGCTTGTATCGTTCCTCTGCTACTGATACTGATCCTTCCTTCAGCACGGGTATTTGTGTTACTGGGCACATGCTGTTGGAAAATGAGTTGGATGAAAACTAGCTCAGGAAAAATATAGTAAAAGCAACTGAGAAAGAGTGGCTGGGACAAATAGAAGGATTGCTTCAGCCTCCATTTGTACTCTTGTATGTGAGCTTCACATGTTTGCAGGCGAGTGTGTATTTTTGATGGCAGTATATTCTTGCTGTGCAACTTAAATTACACAGTGGTGAAAACAAAGACAATGTATGAAAATACATAACTGATTTGCTGTGTGATCTTAAGCAAGTCATTTAGCTACCTTATGTGTCAGCTTCAAACTGGATGTTAACAGAAACCAGCTCTTACATTTGCATTTTTTGCCCAGAAAATACATTTTTACTTCCATTTCTCCTCTCCTGAACCCTGAATTTCTCTAGGACTCCAGGCTGGCTTTGTGCAGTTTGCTAATGTTAGCTCATTTTTACTTTAAAAGCACTGTAACCTCACCTGATTTGTTGGGTACTGCTAAGGCTTTGGATCGCCAAATTCCCATTGGCAGACTGGGTGACCTACCTTTGGATGTAGGCAATGAGAGAAATACCTGGTAGAGGACGGTGGGGTCACTGGTTATATATAGGAAGAGTCACTCCAAAAATAGAGTAGTATTTGGAAGTGGATAACCTTAGACTATTTCAGGGCTATTGAAAGAGGTCCCTTTTTTCCTTCCTCTTTTTTTTAATCTCCCAGATATGGAAGAATATTGCTGAATAAGGAATCTGATTCCATTTATTTCCTAGCTGCCAAATCATGAGTATGTGGAATCAGTTTAAGTGTCCTTCAGTGCATATAGTTTATTGCATAGGCCCATTAATTCATTTGGTTTTCCATTGTGTAAGTTTGTACAATGGTTGTAATACAGCAACAAAGTTGGATCTTCAGAGATTAATTGTTCTGTAACAGTTCTGAAAATTAAGTGCCTAATATATATAACTATTAACTTGAAAGCTATTCCTTCCTTCATGTGTGCAATGAAAAGTAGTCTCTGAATAATGAATATCATTCCAGTATTTGATTCATGTCTGAAAGTAATTTTAAAGACTTTTTACTTATCTTGTCTAAAGCACCTCTTGTGTGTTTTCTGACTTGTTTCTGCTTAACGTATGCAGTAGGGCATTTTGAAATGGAGGTGAGTGAAACTGATATAACATAAAAATAGATGAAAGGTGTTAAACCATTTGATTCAGGCATGTAATCATGAGCTGCAGTATTCCTTCAGGCTTCACATCGTTCTTTCACGTAAACACGCTACCACATGGCTGGATTCAGTAAACACTGCCCCAGTGCATTCCACTGACCGTGAAGACAGTCGAGACTGCATTCGAGCAGAGCTGTTTTTGCTGGGCTCTGTACAGCTTCAAGAACCTGCTGGAGTTTTTACTTACCATAACCTCTGTACTACTGGAAATACTCCTCTCACCTGCAGCTACTAGAAACTAGGCTGCCTGCAGCTGCACATGTCTGGGAACCCGCAGATCGCTTCCAGCTCCATCACGCTCATTCTGTGCTCCCCTAAGCAATTGCTGCAGGTGCGGCACTGACAGTGCAGTTTTTGAGACGACCTGTGCGCTGCCTTATGTCTCCAATTATTCAGTAAAGAAAATTCCTAACCCCTTCAATAGCAAGGTGGAAATTTTGAAACTGCTTATTCCATGCCATAGGACCCATGTTGTCATTTAGCTTTCACTATGCCAAAAGCAAAGCCAAAGGCTCCTCTACGCATTCCCCCTCTGCTTTATCGTGTTTGAGATGGAAGGGTAATTGTGCTTGGCAAGGGTGACTGGATTACAGCTGCCTTTGACTTCCAGGCTTTTTCAGTGCTATTGTGGTTTCTAAACGTGTGCCAAACACTGTGATACAATGGGGAAAATGGGATTTGATTTCTTTGAAATTAGAAAAAAATCGTGATTCTTTCCCTTTGAGAACAATTGCCAGAAAACCAATCAATTCTGCTTTATTTTTAAGACTTGGAAGGTTTTGACTCTGTAATACCAATTGCTGAGAAGCTCAATCATCCAACTACAACCAGACCAAAAGCTACTGGCAGGCGACCACCCTCCCAGTCTCTCACGTCTGTAAGTTAATTTTCCTTTTCTTTTAAAAAGACTTTTTTTCTGATTTTTTTTTTCTCTCCTCCTACTTATGTTCCCTGGTGTTTTTACTGTGCTTACACAGGCATTCCTTCACACGTACAGTGCAGCAGAGAGATGCAACTCAGGAAAATTAGTGTCAAAAGGCTGCCAGTATTTTGAATACTGATGTTTAAAATATTCCCTCCCTTACAAGATTTGTATCCCCTTATTTGGGTACTGCCACAAATTCTTTGCCAATCATGACTGAGGCCAGAAAAATCCTGTATAAAAGTCTTTGGAATAAACTGGTTTGTGCTCAGTATTAAGCATTTTGAAAGTGTTTCCCAAAAAAAGCATTTCCCATGGTTTCTCTGGGACATTGATCAGATTTTGAGGAGAAACACACTATTTCAGCCTTCAGCAGCTCTCCTTGAGCCATCATATTTCTTCTCCTTAAGCTCACAACTGTAAATATAAGGGTAATTTAAATTTCACTCTCTGATTTTTATCTTTAGACAGGTTGGTCTCATAAACCATTCTTTGGAATCTACTGCTTAGTTTTTCAGTGTCTTTTTCTTTGGGGTTTGGAGTTTGTTTGTTTTCATGCTTTTTTGCATTCTGGAATATCAGAATGAGAGCAACTACTGACGGTTAACTGCATTCATGTTGCTGAAGAAAAACAAAGTGGAGGGAAGCAAAAATGATTGTTGTGAAATTACTAGAGAACAAAAAAAAGATAAAGCTTTCAAAATTGACTATGTGTATATATAGAAACATAAAGGACAAGTTCAAAGGTCTTTCTTCCCCTGGCAAATCTATGGGAAAAGGATAAGGGGTGGAAAGAACCTTCCCTATTTGCACCTTTACCGGTAAGAGACCGTGTCCAAGGCAGCCCAGCAATGCCAGCATTGGGCACAGGCAGCAGCATGAGTAATCTGAGGAGCAGCAGAGAGAGACCTGCAGGGGGCAAAGCCATGACAGAGCTGCCCAGGTGGCAGAGCTGGCATCCCCATGGCACGGTGCTCAGCATCCCAGCCAATGTACAATTCTTCTAGCAGATAGGAGGGTGCTTTCATTGATATCATGCAATGCAAAGATGTAAATTAATGTTGAATGCAACTCTGAAGTGTATCTCATTTCATTAATGGTTTGAAAGCATTCTAGCCTTAAAAACAAGACGGAAAAAAGGGGAAGTGGGGGGAGAGTACTGATTTTAAGTATTGTTACTTTGAAAATATTAACTTTAAAAAATATTATTTTCTTCTTCCTTTGTTAAATTCTTGTACGATGAAAATATCTGCATTTTTCCTGCTCTTGGGGTGTGTCTGTGTTTGTCTGTACAGTCGTCCCTTTCAAGCCCCGATTTCTTTGACTCCCCAAGTCCTGAAGAAGAGAAGGAAGAACATATTTCCATTACACACAAAACTGTTGAAGTGTCAAGGAAATCAAGAACTGTCACAATATCACAAGTAAGTAAATTGGAATGCCTCTGCTTAACCTCATCACATGCATCTTCATTTTTGAAAACAGTATTCAAGTATTTATTTTTAAAGTTTAGTTCAACAATCACCTGGTAACCGGCCTTTAAAGAAGCTTAAAATGGTGAGGGTTACTAAAGATTGTTCTGTGTTTGAAAAGCAAGTCTAAAGTGAATTGCACAGTTAAAATGCCTCCATAACCATACTGTGGAAAAATCCTTCTAGTGTAAATACATTTCACAGAATAAGAGAAGCTAGGGAAATAAATTTTAGAAACAAAGGCTCTTTTTTTGCAGGGGAGTTTACATTAGAAGAGTCTGTGAGCAGAAAAAATACAACTCTGACCTTCCTCTAGTAGTATGTGAGTTTAAATTTACAAGTATAATCACTTATAGACTTGTGCCATTCTTATTGTATATTGCTAGAAAACTATAGGATAATTGAATATTACAGGAGTATGTAGATCAGGCTTTAGAGATTGGAGCTCTTTTTTAGTACATAAGGATACCTTTAATAGTACAAATGTTGCATTCTAGTAGTATAACAAAAGTATTTGAAAGATGAAGTCATGCACTTCTTTGATCAAGTTACAATATTTTGCTATATAGCTCCCTCTTCTGGGAACAGTTGCATTAAGGAATACTCTTGGGCCAACATTCATAAATCATATGCTGATATGCCAAGGATGTAGATGTTATTTCTGTAAAACAAGATGACCACTATCAGAAATTAGCTTCTTGACACTTTAATGTAGATAGCCAGTTAAGCTCTGGAATGAGGTATTCAGTGTGGATGACTCGTGTTCACAGAATCACAGAATCGCTCGGTT